GGAATGCAAGGCTATTCGGGATGTTTTCAAAATGATGGGTGCTGGAAGGGTTGCTATTCTCCAGGTGAGCAAGGAGACTTGGGCTCCTGGTGCGATTATTGCTTTCAATAAAAGTCCTTATATCTGAATCTGTCTTTGAAGATGGCACAGTCACAGCCTGCCCTTCTTTTTCTTGAATTGCCATCAGCTCCACGATGGATTTCGTTTCTCCAAATCTCAGGAACTGCTGAAGGGTAATGATCTCTTCTTCCCTGGACATGATGGCCCAGCGGTCCAGCACCTTGCCTGCAGCATCCTAGAGGCCATATCAAAGAAACAACAAAGACAAACACAAAGAAAAAAACTTATTGATTCTGCATAATTATTGAACTCAATAGAAGGTGCTCTGCTGCCTGAAGATGAAACACTAAGCTCAAAAAACAACATGCAAACAGCATTAACAGACTCAACCAAAAAATGCAAACTTTCCAGCCATGCAAATACAGTAATTAGAGTCACAGTCAGAGAAATAGATTGAATTTAATAATGTCAGAGCAAACAAAATGTAGATCACGGGGATCTGTGATCTAAAATGCTTTCAATACTTTTATTTTAACAACAGTGACCTATGTACAATGCTACTGTTTAGCATACATTAGCATAAAACATGAACTGTTGCTGTGTTCTCTGTTGTAAAATACAGAAAATTGTACTTTAATTGCTATTAAATGGTGACGCTATAAGAAAGAGCTGAATAAATGCCTTTGACAGATTTGCTTCTTAGAAACTAGCAAACATAAGACTGAAGTAGCTTGTGGGCCATCTCACAAGAAATTTTGATGCAAGCCAAGAAGTCTTAAAAATATCACATAATGCTCCTTTTTTTTCTTTATTCTTTTTTTTTCCATGACAGCAATACTGAGAAACATTCATTATGATCTTGCATCAAAAGGTAGAAATTGGGGCACCGTTTTTTGGCATAACTGGACTATTACTGGCAACTGATTATAAACTTGCAATCTTGATATGGTTTAGACTTAGGAGGTGACTTTTTTGCAGCCTTGTTATAAATGACAGTTAAAAATATGTAAAAAGTAAGCACCTGATGGGTATAGATAGCATAAATGTGTAAAAATGTTGTCTCTTAACATTGCCTTCTGATAGCAAAGGAAAAATCCAGAGAGAATACACATCAGTAATCACTAGACTATCTGTTGTTAAATATACATTAAAAAGCATTTCACACTTTCATTTTTGCTAGTAAGCATGAGATTTGCCTGAAGGTAGGACTTAAAAATTCTGCAATGTAATGTCAGGCAATCCATTCCAGCATGTATTGATAAAAACGTATTAAAATACTTATATAATGAATACATCATTTTATTGGCATCTTTCCTTTTGGGCAAACGCTGGACATAACATCAGCACAGTAACTATAACAAGCACTGTTGCAGGCCATCAAATCAGAATTACTCCAGTGCTTCCTCATGCATTAAACAGTTTGAAAGCCTTGCAAGATACTCCACTGTACTGTTTCTGATCTTTTTAAATCTTGAATCTCAGCTTCAGAACCTTATCCGAAGACTTTGGACTGCATACTACTGCAAAACCCACTAGCTCTTGTTTGATTACGAAACCTGCAAATACCTTTCCTTTTTTTTTTCACCAGGTCTTATTTATTTATTTATTTATCTATTTATTTTACTATCTTCACTCTTCGGAGGATCTTCTCTCTCCTAACTTTTTCTAGGGTGCTGGAAAATGCAACTTGCCCCAAATAGTAAAGCACATATTTATTTGATTACAGCTGGGTTTATTATTCCAGTTCTGATCTGCGTCACCTTGCTGGATAAAAAGTTAGTGATGAAGGTCAATACCATGTATGTTTCAGTACCTTTAGGAAGCAGAAAATGTTCATCATGTATTTCACAGTGATGAAGGATATACCATGATGCAGATGGTGGTCCTGGTTTGCAGCATTAGTCAGGAAGTATCCTCACCTTTGAACACCTTTAAGCACTGTCGACATCTTTAATTTCTATGCCCTCCCAGTTCTACCTGTCTGATGGAGCAGTATTTTACAGGCAATCAATGCTATCTTGTTGAAATAATGCAGAACATCAAAAAACCCCATCCAATAACAAAGCAAAGTGAAATGAAACAAAACCAAAATGGGGCGAGGGGAGGGAGAAAAAAAGCACCAACACCACCAACAAATAAAGGACAGTTTCACATTTTAAAGCTCTTATTTTTTTTGCCATTCAACTAACTTTGCTTACTGTCCCCATGAGTGTGACCGAAGGATTCTTACATCTACTTCTCGCACAACTGCCAGTCAGCCATACCGGTTCGGCATTTGAGTAATTCCTACCTGGAACTGCAAAACCGGACTCGGTTCAGATTTTGGTCTCCAGGCCTTCGCTGTCACCTCTGACCCAATCTACACACACACATTTCTAATCCCAAGCCACAAGTATTCATTCCTTCTAACTGTAACTTGCATTGTTTGAAGACGGAAATAACATCGTCTAATTTACACTGCTTACATGTATTGAATTAGGATTCCTGTCTGCAGCCAGCTGCAGGCTGCTTTGCAATGTACTACTGGTAGTAATTTGTTTTGTTTTTGCTTTAATTTGTAAATCACTCACAGGCTTATGTAACAGATGGGTGCTTTACAAAAACGGATATTTAAGTAAATAAAAATTAAATACAGCCAGCACGACAGTAACTCCTGAGAATAGTAGGTACAGATCCTGTAACAGACACCCACACATAAGCAGAAGGTGGAATCACACAGTCCCTCACCCGGTGGCAGTACACCTAGGTTTTTTGTGTGCATGGAACAGGCAGACATTATCTAAATGCTGGGGCTCCCAGAATGCTTTTGGGGAGTTATTCCAAGCATAACTCAGAGAAGCCGGCAGCTGGCTACAGGAGCTACCTCTCAAGGAGATGCCACCACCCTTTGTTTTGTTTAATTGAAGGATTTGCAATGAGGAGGGCCAGACCTTCAGCAGCTGCTAAGTCCCACTGATCGGAGAAACTGGCCATCAAGGGTGTGATCGTCATGGGGTTACCCTCACTGTCATAGAAACAGCAGGGAATCAGTAAGTTGCTCTTGCATGATCCTTGCCTACTCCTACTAGTTATATCAAGCTGTATTTTGTTAATTTTCAGCAAGACGTTGTCTGGCTTTTTTTCCCCCCAGCAAAAGTAAAGGAAAATTACACAGATGCCTATGTTTCATAGAAAACACACTACTTATGGATATTATGTAGCATATGCTTCAATATTTACATAGTGATGGCCTTCCATAAATCATTGCAAGTACGTATTATACAAAATTAGATAAAGAGCAAATAGGAATGTCATTTTTTGATAAAGCTTAAAATTAACAAAAAAATCTAACCATTATCCCCTTTGAATTAAGCTATAACTAGCTAGGGATCTCTCTGTATATGGTAATACTTGATTAGAGGTTCAAGTCCTTTCTTACATGTAATCGATTTCTTGTTTCTTACAATCTCTCACACTAAATTTTCTCCCCAAAGCCATTAAATCATATCCACATTTAAATATTTCATGACAAAAGGTTCCAATTTATATTACTTTTTTCAGCTCACAACTGATTAAGCCAAGCCTCCTGTGACAACACGTACAAGGAAGTCAGTGAGTATAGAGATACAACGGCATGCTTACAGCTCTAAGCCAGGCAGTAGACAAGTAAGCCCAACCCGTACAGCATACAGTGATGCTCTTCCTTCTTTGCCCACGCAGCCTTGTTTTTATTTTTATTTTATTTTATATGTGCAGGTAGCTCTCTCACTGTTTCAGATGGATAAAATCTTCTAATCTCCAAACAATATTCAATTAACTTCCAAGGATAGAAGACATAACCTTGAATCTTTTTCTAACTCTACACACACACTGGACTCTATTATTTGTATAGATATGGATTCATATACACACATAGCACATTAGATCACCTGCCTCCTCATTTTTTGCTGACCGTACATTAGGAAGAGATGTGTCAGGATATATTAGGGTACATCTTGTCTTAAACTCCTGGGTCAGCTAGAACAAGTGATGGTAGTCAAGATGATTATCCTGGATGATACAAACAAACTACAAACAAGCTACAACAGAAGATGGACACAAAGCTCTCTCTAATTTTTAGGAGCTTAATTGGGGGGGATTGTGATGATGAGTCTTCATTCCCTGAGGGCCTTTAGGCTTTACAAATTCAAAGCTTTCAATTTAGCTTTAAAACCTCCCAACTGAAAAACTGCCTGTTTAGAAAATAAGGACAGTCTACACAAACATACATGATACACATGCACTGTGACCCTTGAACTTCCATTACGAAATCAGTTGTTCTCTACTCTCACTTTTGTGTGAGAAGCTCCATTGACTCCTCTGTCTGTATGACCTGCAGGTAATTTTATATGTCTACACTCACACAGATACACGTATGTACATACACATACACACCACAGACTTCTTGCAGTTTTATTTTTATCTTACTAATTAACTTCTTGGCATAGGTAAAATACATATATAATCTTGGCTGAACACATAGTGAGAGATGATTATACAAGAGTTGAGATTAATAGAAAGGTTAAAAAAAAGGTAGAAATTGCTTCTAAAACAAGCCTCAAAGATTATTTTCAAGCACTCAAAGATTATTTTCAGGCAGTATTGTGATAACTTCTGAGAACCATTCAAAATTACATAGAAAATACATTGCCAGTCTTCATATTTTAGCCAGTTTGCATACGCACTATAAACTGCGGCTTTTGATGCGTATCAGCTAAGCATCCATGTTATAAAATACTACACAGATACATGTTTGATTAAATAATTAAGCAAGCCTAGTGCTTATCACAAATCTTTCTTCTATAAGACCTTCTTAAAGAGATATGTATTTTCTAGCTGATCTCAATGAAACATTTTGACTGCAGCTGTAACAGTTGAAAAGCAGACTGAAAGATACTCATTTGGTCATACTGTAATTGCAGAGGACGGTTTTAATTAGGGTGTAGACAGAAAAAAATATCAACATTTGTTTCTAATAAAGAAAAGCCTACATAATTTCCATGATTTAGAGTCTGTTGTTTTTGTTTGGCTGAATTTCCCAAGAGCATCTCTTTGCTTCCCAATTAAATTTCAAGCTGTTACACTATGTGTAGTCCTACTAGTCCTGGGGTAAAAGTTACCAAAATTGTGCAGCAGCACACCCACTCACATTAGTACAGTTAGGGCAATGTGCAATACCTCTTGCTCATTTTGGCTAACTCCACTGACCTCAGTAGG